GGGGGGGGGCAGAGCTGCCCCCGAGTCTGCCCCCAGCCCGTCAGAACTGTGCCCGCTCACGCAGTGCCGGTGAAGCAGGGTCCCACGGGGCACGGGTGGAGCGGGAGGTGCCCGTGACCCGCACACAGCAGCGTTAATAATTCCATGACGCTCATAGGGTGTCACCTCATCTTCACGCCGGTTTTAATGGGGATAGACACGCGGAGGGGAGGAAACTCCACTAGCCTTTTGTTCACCTCAGCCTTGAGTCAAGTCCCCAAAGCCAAGGAGCAGCCCCTCGTCTGCAACAACAGGAGAGCAGAGTCCGGCCAGGTGGTTCCCGGGCACAGACCGGGATCCCCACTTCCACTCGCAACCAGGCTCCAGCAGTTTCCAGAGTTCCCTGCCCGGAGACAGGGCTGGCGGAGGGGACGCCGGGCTGGGGACGGTCTTGGCAAGAGGGAAACCACGGTGTGTCTTCACACCTGCTCGGCTTCACGCTCCCCTCCTCCCTGCCGTCACCCACGGCTGTCCTGGGGCGGCGGGATCCGCTGCGGGACCGTCCCGGCGGCTGCGGGAGCCGGGGTGCATCTGGCACCCTCTCCTGGCCAGCGAGGGCCAGGTCGGCGGGTTGTGTATGTTCTCGTTCACCTCTTCTTTGAGGATAATTGGGGCAAGAGAAGAGAAGGAGGGGAAAAATAACCCAAAGCTTGCGGGATACCTCTCTGTGTGGCTCCATTCCTCCCAGCTCATCCCTCCTTCCAGCCCATCTCCTTCCCCACTTCCCCCTTTCGCCTGGGATTTGGGGAAGGCAGAGCTGACTGCCTGTGTGCTTCACTCCGTGCTTCTGCAAAAAAAGCCCACGAGCGACCCCAGCCCACTTGTGGGGTTAAGGGCCACCTGAACAAACCCCTGGGCTGGGGCCAAGGTTTGCAGAGCAGACCGTCTCTGTCCCTTCTGTCCCCAGAGGGGACACCCTGATGCCAGCGCCCACATAGCCTGGGGACAGTGTCCTGGGGCAGAAAGGACACCCTGCAGTGGGATGGAAGGTGGGCGTGGGGCCAGAGGGAAAGATGTGGTGAGGAATCAGCCCTTGCTTTCTCCAAAACAAATCCTCCAGAAAACAATTATCACCATGCACCAGGTTCATCCCCCCAGCCCCTTCCTGATCAAGGGGAGGGATTGGCAGCCCCCAGAGACACTTTCATGTAACTGTTTAAACTCAGAAGCAAGTTTCTCAGCATCCTCCAATCTCTGCCCATCCTCAGTGACTTTCCATCAAAGTGACGCAGCCACATCCCTGAGCATGGCACTTCCAGCTTCCCTTTACATCTCAAGCTCATCTCCCCTGGCCTCAATGACACAGCCCCACAGCAGTGACGGCCCCACATCATATTTCTGTGTGTGGTGTATTTGTTTTTGGGGCCTGTTGAATGGCAAATGCGAAAGGGAAGAGGACTCCTTCCTGTTCTTTCAGAGCCGGTCGCTGTGCCCTGCTCGGCTTCAAGGGAATAGCCGGCAAAGCGGCCGCTTTCACAAATAATGGCTTCATTAGATTGAAAGAAGTGGACAGTGACCTCTCTGAAATGGACTTTCTGACCCCTGCTGACCTCTGGCCCTGGCTCTGACAGCCTGTAAATCTTCCCCCTCGCGGCATGGCCGGGGCGAGGGCAGGCAGTGCTCTGCCGGAGCCCAGTGCCGACGCTGCTGCCCGTGGTCCGGCATTGCGGACCCCTGCACAGGCAGCACGATGCTGCCTGGGGGCTGCCTGGCTCCAGCCAGGTCCTGAGCTCAGCGGGATGAGGCTCCGGGGGTTTGCAAAGCCCGGGCATGTGGGTCACAGCTTTGGCAGAGATGGGGACTGGGTCCTCAATGTGCTGCAAACCCCATCGGGGCTGGTCCTGGGGAGCTGTAGCGCCCTCAGAAATCATGTTATTAGGTCTGTGGCTCCAGCGCCATGTCCCAGCACAGTCACCATTACCATTTGCTCATCGGAAAGGCACAGACCAGCTCAAAAGCAGCCTCTGAGCCCCTGCCAGGGAAAACTGAGCCCTCTCCCTGCCCATCCCACAGGCACAACCCTCCTGGCTGTACACAGACATGCTCAAACCTCCTCCAACCCCCACTGAGACCACCTCCATCTCCCTCCCGCAGGCACAGACCCTTTCCTGCAGCCCCCAGCACCTTCTTCCCCACCCACCGAGCCCAGGGCGCTGCTGACCACCGCACAGCCTCACCACCCGATCTGCTGGTGGAGAAACTAAGGCACAATGGGGCCATGTGGCCAGTGGGTGGCTGCCAGTGGGTGTCTGTGCAATGGGAACCCATGCCAGGCTCTCC